AGAGGGATGAACAAGTCTCTTGCCCAGCTTTTACAAAGGCAGCCTTGCCTGCACTTCACAAGGGGGAGAGAGGCCAGCAAGGTTAAACCAGGCACTAGAGGGAGCACAGGGATTTGAACCCCAGTCATCTGGCTCCTATCTGAGCTGTCACCCACCATATGGCCTCTCTAACAAGAACCCCATTCAAAGTGACATCATCAAGACTTTACTGAAAAGGGATCCAGGAGATTGGGGAGGGCAGGTGAATCCAAAGGACCCCTCCCAGGTGCTCCAGGCCAGGCATCTGCTCCCAGGTCCCCACTCCAGGCACAAGCTCACCTGACAGAAGGTCGGTGTATGAACAGCTGACAGAGCCCGGCGCAGGGCATCCACATCGCTGAAGCCAGGGGGCAAGCGGTCGACACAGAGGCAACGGGAATGGAGCAGGGCGGGTGTCAGCTGTCCTGCATCTGTCCAGTGCACGTAGAGGGTGCGTGTGCCCAATGGCTTGCCCAGCAGATCCGACTTGGCTCGGGCAGCTGAGTCCTTCTTCATGTACTCGGCGAAGCCATAGCCTTTGGAATGGCCAGTGCGCTCGCTATAGACCAGGAAGCAGCGCTCCAAGCTGCCGAAGGGCCGCACCAGCTCCTCGAACTGCTGCTGAGTGAGACTAGGGGGCAGGTTGGCCACGCAGAGCAAGGCGTCGGTGGGCTGCAGCTGCACCGATAGCTCGCGCTCCCGCAGGCAGCTCTGGTGGAAGGTGCTGATGGCAGCCTCGGCCTGCTCACCATTCAGCAGGGTCACAAAGGCTACAGCAGGAGGGGGAGTGGGTCAGTGGGGTCCCCTGAAGGACTGCCTTGACCAATGGCCGCCCACCCTTACTTCTCTCTAAGCCACATGTGATCTCAGAATACCAACCAACCAGGACACCTCAGGCCCCAGTGAACTGGAGAGTTGCCAGCCTTGAGCAACTCGCACAGGTGCCTCCTACCTCCAGGAGTTCTGCTCCCTGCCCTCACCCATACCCCTGCTCTCACCCTACTAGTGAACTCACCTGCCCTCTTATCTACTGTGCACCTGGCTGACACATAGAAAATAGGTGAGTAACTTGGGTGACACATAGGGTAGTGGTCAAGCATGTGGTCAATGGAACCTGGGTTTCAACTCCAGCCGAAGTGGCTGTGGAGTCCCAGTTTCCCTATCTGTTAAATGGGAAAACTTACTCCTCATAACCATCAGTGTGCCATCAAGGAAATGGGTGCAGAGCAGCGGCACCCCTGCCTGAGGGAAGGAGCCTGGACTCGAACCCAGGCAGACGGACTCCACAGCCCAAGCCTGCTCACCCTTCCTTACCACCTTTCTAGGCCATCAACACCTCTCACCTCTCATGTCCAAGCACCTGCCTCAGCCTCAGTCCTGTTGCCAGTCCTGGTTTGCTGTCCACCTAATAGCTACAGCTTTTCAAAATGATTATCAGAATGTGCCATACCCTTATCCAGGGGCTTCTCACTGTAGGGGACAAGGGAGCCTGTGTGACCTGGCCCCACGGCCTGCTGACCTCCTCTCTCATCTCTTGCTGCTACTTTCTGGACCATGCCAGGCACATGCTCCCTCGGGCCTTTGCACCTACTTTTCCCTAAGCATGGAACACTGACCTCCCCTATTTCACCTGGTTAATCCTGATCCACCCTTCAATCTGACTGCAAACATCACTTCCTCCATGAAGCCTACCCTGACTGCACCTGTTTCAGATTACAGTACTGAGCTCCCACAGCACCCTGTAGCTTCTGGTCCCATGACCACTTCACCTTCAAGCCTAGAGTGGTGTGAATGACATCTTCCCCCTCCACCCCGCAGACTAGACAATCTCTGTTTGGTTCACAGCTCTGTTTTTGTGTCCCAGCATATACTGGTGCTCAATAAACATTTATTGAAAGACAGTATTAATAATAGAGTCACTTAACTTCTGGATCCCCAATACCTGGCACCTCCACATACAAGGTACTCAGTAAATAGTTCTGACTTGCCCCTGTCAATGTTTACTAAGTATCTACTAGGTGCCAGACACCCATAGCCCTTTTAGGTATTTTAATGTTTGGCCTTGTGGTCAACCCAAGCAGGTCACGCCCAATTAGCTGGTGAGAAAACTGAGGCTCAGGAAAGGTGAATCACTTGCCTATGGCCACTGAGTGAGGAGAGACCAGGACTCGAACCCAGGTCCATTTGCTTCCAGAGCCCAAAAATCTTAACCACTACCCTGGCCCCCTGGCCCACCAGGAGGTCTCTAGGGTCCCTGTCCTCACCCAAGTTATAGATTGCAAGTATAATGCCTAGAAGATACAGACACCCACCGAGGGTCTCCCACAAGGTAGGGGGGTGGGTTGCAAGGCTGATAAGACTTGTCCCTGTTTTCATGGAGATGACCACTCAGTACAGGAGGCAGGTGAGTGAGCCAGCAGCGACAGCCCAGAGTGATCAGTGCTATGATGGGGAGAGGGCACTCAGGGCACTGTGAGGAGCTGCCTGTCTTCACCTGGATAGAAGAGGGGACAGCTAAGAACAGTGGCAGAGGGAATGTCTGGAAGCTTGCAACCAAGGAGATGGCAAGGCTGGGGCACATCCTTGCAAGATCATGTCAAGAGGAGCCTCAGGCAGGTTTTGAGGAGAGAGAAAAACAATCAGGTCAAGACTAGGTTTGATCAGATTTGCAATCAAACTGATCAGATTTGATTAACCCTGGCTCCCTGGGGGAGGGCAAGTAGGAGTGTGCAATCATGTAGGCAGAGATGGAGGGACACCAATTGTTCTGGAGGGCTTGAAGAAGACCAGACAGGACTGGGGGGATGGTGTAGGAAGTGGGAGAGCCCAATGCTCAGGTATTTGGCTGAGCAGCCTGGAGGAGGAACATGAATATCAAGGCTGCTCCATGATGGGCATCCAGAAAAGATTGGAGCAACAGTCTATCCTGCGCTGGCCTAGGGGATGATCTTGGGCCCAAAGTTCAGGAGAGGAGATGCTGGGCCAGAAAGCTTCCAGCTTCAGGGACTGTCACCCCTTGCCACTAGCCCACCCCACAGCCCCACAAACCTGTCCCTTTATATTTGTCCACAAAACAGTACTTGAGCTCATAGTCGCTGAGCAGGTCGTGCACTTCCTGTGGAGATAGAAGCCAAAGGACAGAGAGTCACCAGGAGCTGAAGGAAGAAATCCAGTGCCACCTTCAAGTGGAACAGCTATGAATGAGGTCAATCACAGTCCCCATTTAACAAAGGAGGAAACTGAGGCTCAGAGCGGTTACTTGTCCAAAGCCATTGAGGCCATACCTGGCAGAGCTGGGATTCAGAGTCTAACTGCAGATCCCATGTGCTTTACCAACACAAAACACTCTTAGAGAGCCAGGTGGATCTGAGTTCAAGTCCTAGCTCTGCCGTATGCCCTTAGGGAAGTTGTTTAACCTGTCTTTCAGTTGGCAAGACTGACGCTTTCCAACATTACAAGTTAGGTATTAACAAATCCATTTTGCAGATGAGGAAACTGGGGCTCAGAGAGGTGATGGTCATGGGGTTGGTCAAGACAGCAGCAGAAATGCCACTCAGGGGTACCTGACTGGGGACCCTGTATACTTAAAGCCCACACTGAGTGGCTTCGTGTGCTTCCCAATTCTCTCATGCTGGCACAGCAGCCTTCTTGTAAGCCAGCTGCGGGGGAGAGGCTCTGGGGCCTGCTTGTGCAGGGATATACCTTGCACCCTGCAGGAGACACAGCGTGTTCCCAGCTGAGAGATGGCAGGCAGGTGCTAGGAGAAAGACTGACTCTAGAAATAAATCAGATCATGCTTAGTGGTGCTTGCCCCAGTCGTCCCCAAGTCATGCCCTCCCAATACTCTGGAGGCTCTACCAGCCAGTGCCCACCTACAGTGAGGGTGAGCCAGTGGCAGACGTGTTGGTGGGCTATAGAGCAGGAATTCTCTGCAACAGGAAGAAAGAGCCCATTCCACCACAGCAGGGCAGGGCATATCAGATGCAATTTCCTTGGGTCCAAAGAGCACTGGAAAGCCCAGCGCGGTAGGCCCCAAGAGAAGAGCACCCCTGGCCAGATCAGCCAAGGGGAGCTCCACAGAACACTGATCCCTCCTTTCTTTCAGATCTGTGGGTTGGGGGCAGGAGACCTCTTTTTCCAAATAAATCCTGGGGTTTCTGGGGAAGAAAGGCGCCAGGAACTGCGACAACTTCCGATCTATCCCTATGAGAAGTTAATAAACCGTGCTAAAGATACTCTAGCCAACCCTGAAACTTCTGACTATGAGGTCTCGCCATCTCATCATAGAGAGGAATGAGGAAAAACACAATCAGAGCAGGGAGTAACTGGCGTCTCTACTTCTACAGTCCCAGTCTAGCTGCCCATTCACTATCCCCCAAATTGGCCGAAGCCGCGGGCCCACTTTAATCACTTGGTCCCTTACAAGCCTGTGGTCGTCCCTAGCAACGTCCTCCCTCAGTACAAAGTTGGTTTCTCCTTCCATCACCGTCCCCCCGCCAACAACCCGCTCTTGGTCTCTCCCAAAGCCTCATGGATCCTGCATTTGGACTCTCCCGCCGACGCCCCCTACCCTCGGGCAAGCCAGCGTCGGTGTTGCCTGGTTCCCCCCGCGCACGCGCACGGTGGTATTTCCCGCCACGCTCCCACACCGCCCCCCCATACCTGGTTGGTCACGTCCCCCGGGAGGCCCCGGATCAGTATCTTGCGGCGGTTACGGAACTGGCGCTCGGTGTGTTCCAGGCGTTTCCTGATCTCCTCTGGATCTAGCGGCGGCAGTTCTTCTTCGGGCGCCCGGCGCTCCGGGGCATCGTCAGCTTCAACCTCGGCCCCAGGCTCCGGGCTCAGCGGGGGCCGGTGAGTAACGGACACGTCGGCCGCCATCTTGGGAAGCCCGGCGCCTTCTGGGACCAGCGAGCCGGGGCGGAGCGGCATAGAGCGGCAACGAGAGCGCGTCCGCCTATTGGCCAGAAGAAGCCCCTCCTCCTCCTCCTCGAATCCCTCAGCCCATTGGCTAAGGCCCAGCCCGCCTCCGAGAGTTCTGGCCCGGTCTGGACTCCACAGCCTCCGCCACTTTCCGCCCCCAAGATGTCATTCAGCGGACGCGCAGCGCATTGGGAGATCCCCTCAGCGCCGGTGGAATCAAGCCACAGACACGGATTTTGAGGGCTTTATTGTTGGGGAACCAGGGGATACAGCCAAACTCCCGTCGTCTTTGGCCCGTTACCCCGCTGGCCCGAGGCTCAGAATGGCTACTCCCCCGGCGCCTCGTCAGGCTGTTTAGACGCGAGGGGCAACCAGGCGCTCCCCTGATTCACTTCGTACTTGTCACTACGTTTATGCCTCCCGAAGACGTACATTAAGGCCGCGATGACAGTCACAAGGCCCAGGATCGTCAATACCCCCAGGACGATGGTGACGGTGAGGGAGTTACAATCTGTGCAGAAAAACAAGGAGTAAATACTTGCACCCATGCCCCTCCTAGGCTTGCCTTCTAGACCCGCAGACTCGCCTCAGCTCACCCTGAACGTTCATCACCACGATGAGAGAGTGCATGCCCTGTGAGTTGGCTGCTTGGCAGTAGTAGATACCACTGTAGTTTAACCTGACGCGGAATGGGATCCCGATGGGCACCTGGACACTGGAGGCTTCATGCAAACACCGTAGCTGGGGATCCGGGTTGCCCCGGGCTTGGCACTGAAGGACTTGGGTTGTTTTATCTTTCCACGTCAAGTGCTGAGGACATTTGGCTGGGTCAATCTTAGGACCATCTGTGAGACCGCCAAATGATCAGACACACCCCGAGGTACAATGGGGCAAGAGAGCATCAAGTCTTTCCATACGAAGGATTAAAGTCAGAGTGACCTACTCACACAGTACACGCAGCTGGACGCTCCTGTTCCTGTGCAAGACCACCCCATCCACCTCGAGGGTGGCATTGCAGAAGAAGCTGCGTCTGTCGTCCCTCTCAGTGGCGTTTAGCTGAAGCAGGGCGAGCTGTCCTGGGGCCACAGCGGGAACTCCGTCCAGCGTCACCTGGACTTGGGCTCCAGCAGCGCAAGTCACATTCACTGTGGTACCCTCAGGGACTGTCGGCTGGCTCAGGTTCCTGAGGGTCCCGCTCAGGTTCATCATGGGCCCCCAGAAACCTAAAGGAGTGGCATTGCCTGGGAATTTGCTAACCACTCCCTCACACCGGCCAAGCCCAGCCCTCTACCCACAAATCAGAGTATCCAGGCCTTTCCTTTTAGCTCCTCTTTCGCCCCATCTAACTTGGGGTACTCTGGCCCTACTCTAATGATGACCCAGGCCCCGCCCATTCTGCATCTCCTTCCGCTTTGGCGGCTCAGGCCCCGCCTTTCCGGCTTCGCTTCCCTGGTGCCTTGCCCTTTGGGGTAATTAAGCCCCACCCCCTTGCCCTCAGTTCTGCTGTTTTGGCCCCGCCCCCTCTTACTATAAATGGTCAAGTTCTCCTGAGTCTTCCGGCTCTCCCCCGCCAGGGTCACATTGCAGACAATCTCCTGTGCTCCCTCTAGTTCCCCGCTTGCTGTGGCTGTGGCTGTGGCCATGAGCGTGTCACCGTGGCTCACTACTGTAGGATGCAGCATCTGGTCCCCCAGAGCCAGTTGGACCTGGGCCTCAGAGGCGGGAAACAGCCCGTCCAGGGTGCAGTTCACGACCTGGGATGTTCCCACCTCCAAGAACCGGGGAACAAAGAGACGTGGGGGCGTCACAGGCAGGACTGGGGAGAAGAGTGGGAATGAGCCAGAGGTCTCACACAGCCGTGGATGCCCCTTTCCCTGTGACACACTCATACCCCCCCAACCAGGGTCCTTCTTTCCCAGAATACCTTGTAACCTGGATTACCCCCTTCCTAGGACACATCTCTCTGCTTATACTTTTCAAAAATACCCGCTGCTGTGGGCCACCCACCCAATGGCCAAGGGCAGGCCTTCCCAGAAGCCCTTGAGGTACAGGCTACCCCATTCTCAGAAACCTCATGACCAGGGCACCCCTACTTTGGCTCAGCTCATCACCCACAATCTGCAGTCCCTTCCCTCACCAAAGGTTTGGAGCTGCCTGGGGACTGAGCTGTTCTGGAACAGTCCCAGCCCTTGGGGCCGCAGGTCCAGTTCCCAGCGGCAAGAGAAATTGGCACCGTGATCGTTTCTGCCCACTAACACCGTGGTATTGACTTCTGCAGGCTCCCCAACTGCCAGCTGCCGGCTCAGCACCTCCTCCCCACGGAGCAGCAACACGAAGAGGCTGGTTCGGGGTGCCCCGCCTTCCACGCAGCAGCGCAAGGTGAGATTTTTGCCTATAGGCTTCCAGGGGGACATGGGTGCCAGCTCCACATGCTCTGGAAACCCTGGGGCAGGGGGGTAGAAGGAGGGAAGAACAGAAACTTATCAGCCAGTCCTGTATCCTCCACCCCAGGGAGTGGAGAGGACCTGAGGGTGGCCCAGTGCAGAACTGTGAACTTTGAGTTGATAAACCTCAAGGGCTTAGAAATGTGCCAGTGGGAAGTGTTTGCTATTGTCATTAGCATCATGATTATTCCTGTTTTGTCAGACACCTTGCCAGGCACTGAAATAAAAGTCACATTTGCTCTTCCCAAGGGCCTCACAGTTAAAAAAAGAAGAGCCCACCTGGCGTGTCTCAGTGGTTGAGTATTGACCTATGATCCAGAAGATCAAGGTTTGATTCCCGATCAGGGCACATGCCTGGGTTGCGCACTCGATCTCCAGTGTGGGGCGCGCAGGAGGCAGCCTAGCAATGACTCTCATCATTGATGTTTCTGTCTCTCTCTCCCTCTCCTCTCTGAAATCAATAAAGATATTTTAAAAGGGGGGGGGGTACTAACGTCTATGACCACTTGTGATGTTAATAGTAATTATAAAAGTTCCTGTTTAGAACTTTCCTTAAACTTTGCAGATGTGATACAGGCATCCACCTTCATTCACATAGCAACTGAGTAGAATTTTCTCTATTATTCTTTCTATAGATGGAGAAACAGGCCCAGAGAAGTGATCTGCCCATAGATGCACACCTAGGAAGGGGTAGAACCCAGGTTAGAATGTGGGTCGCCCAAACTTTAGACCTATGTGTCCACCTGCCTCTTTACTGTCACATCTAGGGACTCCCAGCTTCTGGACTCTAGCCTTGGCCTCTCTTGAAGAGCTTGGTCCAGCCCTTCCCGATCAGTCCCAGGTGCTCAAGACTTTCACAGACTACCTGCCCGGGGCAGCTTCTCAAGGTGCTTTGGCACAATCATGGGGGACCTGATAACCTCCAGGCTGGGTCTTCTCCCAGATATAGCTGCAGTGCCTTTCACAGGCACACATAACCGAACCCTAAACCTCCTTGGGAAGCATCTTACTCTCACCTTCAACAACTCGAGCTTGGATCTCAAGCTGTCAGAGAGGCCCAGGGACTGGCTGCTATGAAAAATATTTAACACCCTACTACAATTTTAGAATATTTAACAAGGAAGACTCCATCTTAACCTCAGGCACCACTGGTCAGAGATAGTGTTATGCTGGTAAATTCTGGTTATGCTTGGGCTCTTGGGGGTAGGGATGGGGAACCCGGATAAAGAGCATTTGCCAATTTCTGCAGTGTAAATACTCCCACTATGGCTGATATCAAGCTAGCTACCCAATGTGAGACAGAGTTGGGAAGAGATGAGCACAGTCAGATCTCATGAGCCAAGACCAACAGTTTCCTGCACAGCACTGGACAGAAGGACCAGACAGACACACAGATACATACAAACAGAGAGACACGCAGATGTACACATCACACAAAAATATATGTAGATACAAACACATATACATAGACACATACTGACACAGACATCCATATCCACAGACACACAGATACTGATACAAACACACTTGCCCCAATCACACATGGAGATACAGAGACAGTCATGGAGATATACATAGAAAGATACATAAATACAGACACAGGCACACACATAGACATGTACACTCACAGACACAGACTTAATGACATAGACATATATGCTCATGGACACATGTAGGTACACAAACACGTATAGACACTGGTACCCACACAAGACCATACACATGGTTACACATGATTACTATACTTATCTGTGAAGGCTTCACAAAACGGTAGGCACCATGAGTAATCTGCTATTTTCTAGTCTATTGTATGCCTTTTTAAAAATAAATGTGTTTTTATTGATTTCAGAGAGAGGAAGGGAGAGGGAGAGATAGAAACATCTATCGGCTGCCTCCTGCATGCCCCCTACTGGAGATTAAGCCTGCAACCCTCGACCCCCACCCCTTGTTAAGAACAGGGACTCAGGCCCTGGCCAGTTTGCTCAACAGTTAGAGAGTTGGCCCTCAGACTGAAGGGTTCCAGCTTTGATTCCAGCCAAGGGCACATGCCTCGGTGGCAGGCAGCCTCGATCCCTGACCCTGGCCCTGGTTGGAGCATGTACAGGAGGCAACCAATCCATGTGTCTCTCTGACATCCATGTTTCTCTCTCTCTCTCCCTTCCACTCTCTGAAAAGCACTGGGGAAAAAATAATAGCCTCGGGCGAGGATTAAAAAAAAAAAAGAACAGGGACTTGGGAGCTGAACTGCCAGCCTCACCATTCATGGGCTGTGAACCCTGGCAAATGCCTCCACCCCACTGAGCGTCAGTTTCTTTAGCTGTGAAATGAGACTCATAAGTGCACCCCCACCCCATCCTGGGATGTTTGTAAGGATTGAATGAGGGCCACAGTGGTTATCAGCACTTAAAACAGTGGTCACTGCTAGCAGCACTAGGTAAATGGAGATTTGACATTTATACATTTTTATACTTTTTGATTTTGGAACCCCACTGATTTATTACCTGCCATAAAAATATAATAGCCTGGCCGGTGTGGCTTAGCAGTTGAGCACCGACCTATGATCCAGGAGATTGTGGTTCGATTCCCAGTCAGGGCACATGCCTGGGTTGTGGGTTCGAGCCCCAGTTGGGGGCGTGCAGGAGGCAGCCGATCAGTGACTCATCATTGATGTTTCTATCTCTCTCCCTCTCCCTTCCTCTCTCTGAAATCAATAAAGACATATAAAAAATCAAAATATATATGTATATATTAGTAATAAATAAAAGACATGTACTATCATTTTTAAATGCTTGCTGGGACCCAAATAAATTTATTTTACACTACCACCCTGGCATATGGTTGAGATGCATCTCTGTCTGTCTGTCTCTGTCTCTTTCACACACACACACACTCTCTCACACACACATTCACACATGTACAGGTCCAAGCTCTGGCTCAGAGGCCTGGTCCATTCCTGCAAACTCAGGGCCCACTCCCCACACCATTGGCCATTTACCCCCACCACTGCCTGAGGCCAGTCCCACCTCCAGGTACATCTACTCACGGTATACTGTGATGTTAGATGAGCCTGTGATCTGCAAACCATTGCAGAAGCCGGAGCATAGGACCACACTGTCACCAGTCACATTGCTGAGCTGGAAGGCTGCCCAGCCCAGGCCTTTGCCCATTGACTCCTTGAAAAGGGATGTCTCCAGGGTAATGAGTTCAGGTTGGGGGCAATCTGTACTGCAGTTTACCAAGAGAGACTCTCCAGCAAGTACCACAGGGTCCTGCGGCTCCACCTGAAGCAGGAACTCCTGTCCCTGGACACCTGCGGGAACAGGGAAGCTCTGCTGGTTGACCCACTGACCCCCAGCCTATTCATCTTGAGGCCCTACCATCCAACACCTCCTCTACCCAAGATATGGTCTCTGCCTTCATGGTGTTTCCAGTCCTGTGGGGAAAACAGGTGATGGGTCAGGGGCTGGGAAGAGCTTAGAGGGAGGCCCATAGGAGCCTATAGGAGGAACTGTCAGGGAAGCTTCTTGGAGGAGACAACTACAGCCAGTTTTGAAGGGTAAGTAGGAGCCAAGTAATAGAGAAGAGTGATCCTGGCAGAGAGAAGAGTGTAGGCAGAGGTCAAAGGTACAGATGGAACAGAGGGGGGGGGGGAGT